TTTATTGCCAACGGCCATTAAACACCACAAGAAGAAGAAGAAGAAAAAAGAAAAGAAGAAGAATTAATGCACACCTTTAGTTTATTGCCAACGGCCATTAAACACCACAAGAAGAAGAAGAAGAGTTTATTTGCGGGAGGCTGACAGCTGCTGCTGCAGAAATCTTCTCCGAGTTTGAAAAAACCATCCTGCGGTACGAAGAAGAGATGGAGCGTCAGCGCAGACTGCTGGATCTCTGCTGGAAACCTGAACTAAAGCTGCACAGAGTCGGTATGTAGCTCYGAGACGGTCCGGATGAACGAACCGGCTTCGATTTTGTAGAAACAACAGACCCAGGAAGTCAACGACGTAGAAACGAACCGGGAAACTAGCTTCTCAAGCTAGCTAAGCTGACAAATCACGGAGCTGTGTGAGATTTTCGGCCGCCATCTTGCTAGGTGCTGCAGCTAATTCAGTTTTAAAAGGCAGATTAAAGGAACCTCCTAACAAGCTCAGTCCTACATCAGCTGGTTAAAAACGGACCCAATGGGCTGCTGTGATAAAATGACCCGGACCAGAACTGAACCTGTGCCACTCAGTTGAACCACAACAGTGTCTGAAACTAATCCTGATAATGTAGAATGAATTAATTTTGAATTGCAGCACAGCGTCCTGTCGGTTCTGATCCGGTCCATTTATTTATTTGTTTTGTCTTTTCAGACTTCCAACAGGAGCCTGTCCTGGCAGACCAGGACTCCAGCCCGGTCCAAGAGGAACCAGAATCAGAACCTCAACAGATCAGCACGGCCCACGAGGAACCAGACTCTAAATGTGTCAAAGTAGAAGAAGTGGAGGAGCTCTGCACCAGTCAGGAGGAAGATCAGGTCCAGCTGAAGCAGGAGACTGACCCGATAAYGATGACCTCGTCACATGAAGAACCAGAGGCAGACAGGGAGCCGCCCATCTTCAGTCAAACATTCGCTTCCTGCCTGATTTGTGGAGCAACGTTTCCTGGGAGAACATTTCTCCTAAAACACATGAAGGTCCACGAGGTCACGAGCCTGAAGTCCGACCGCCCGCCGTTCTGCTGTCCCGTCTGCAGTGACAAGTTCCCGGCTCGTCACGGGTTGATCCTGCACATGAGGCGCCACGTCGACAAGAAACCGTTTCCCTGCGGCTTCTGTGGAAAGAGGTTCCCCTTCAAAAGAAACTGTGAGGTCCACATGAGAATCCACRTGAGGCAGAGCCTGCAGTGTAACGTCTGTGGGGAGAGGTTCACCTGTAAAGACCAGTTCACCTATCACATGAAGATCCACATGGACCAGGACCTGAACCTGGACCACTGTTGTCCCACYTGCAGCAAAACCTTCTCCTCCAGCAGAGGGTTAGTCGTCCACATGAGGAGTCACACTGGAGAGAAACCGTTCTCCTGCRGATTTTGCCCAAAGACTTTCAGCTGCAGGAAGAAATGTAAAAGCCACATGAGAGTCCACGCCAGCCGCGAGGACGACTTCACTGACGAGGACCAGCTCAAAACCCACGTGAGGAGCGACGCGAGCGAGGCCCTGAACCCCGAGCACTGCTGTCCCACCTGCAACAAGACGTTGTCCTCCAACAGCAGCCTGGTCGTCCACATGAGGAGTCACACGGGAGAGAAACCGTTCTCCTGCAGGGTCTGCAGGAGGCAGTTCAGCACCAAAGGAAACTGCGAGAACCACATGAGGCTCCACACGGGGGAGAAGCCRTACTCCTGCARGACGTGTGGAAGATGTTTCACTTACAGCTCACAACTTAAAAACCACACAAAGGTCCACCTGGACGCCACGGTCCCCTCTGCTGGACCATGTGGAGCAGGTTTCTGAGGAGTCCTGAGAAGTCTTCAGTATATTCAGATTACTTATCTGTGACCCATCATATTCAAATGAGGATTAAATCAMATTTGTTCAAAATGACCCAATTACATTTTCAGATTCCTGGCTTTAAAGATGATCCACAATGAGTTGTTGATAAAAATACATTTTAACYGTAAAATAAAGACGRTAAAAATACTGTTGAGTTTAGTAAATTTTTAGGAAGACATTTTAACACGGACTGAGCCATTTTATTTACACGCAAAGAATTCTGGATAAATGATGACGTCGAAACCAGAGAGCGTTTTCAGAGAGGAGAAGGTAGAAACTGTAGATATGTAGAGTAAAGTTACAACTAATGATGGATCCTCTTAAAACCCACATTTTGACACCTGGATCATTCTGATGTCATCAGATTATCCACAGATATGACTTCATTTATCTTGTTGGTTATGATAATACATTAGTGTTTGGTCTGAATCTGGATTTTATGTAAATTTATTGAGTATTTTTTCATTTCAATATAAAGAGGAAACATCAAATAATATTTCTGTATTAAGATTTCCCAGATGGGAAGAAACAAAAACATTGCTAGCTCACAAAGAAAATTTTAAAATTTT